GTATCCAGCACCAGGTTTATGCAACTGACCTTGCTCAGTGAGCTAGGTGAGCGCCGCAATATCAATGTTGTAGCGCGCCAGTTCAATCGCGACCAGTGCAGTGCGTCGCTCGGGGCGCTCACTCGAGTTCCGGTCCAGTAGTGTGTGCACGTTCCAGCACCCGATGCTGAGTGCTTCGCGCGCAGGCATATTATAGTGTTGGTGGGCAATCGCACGCGTGGTGGTGATTGTGTTTCGGAGAGTTGCTTGAGGGACTCCGCCCGGAGCCTTTGGCTCAATAGCCTGACCCACAAGGCAGTGGGTGATCTGGATGTTTGATTGAGGGACTCCAGCCGGACTCGGCCCGTAGCCTAGAGGTAACGAGCTTGTCTCGTAATCCTGCGGCGCGGGTTCCAATCGGCGTAGATGTGGGCGTCCTGGGGGTATACTCAGCCCGTGTGTAACTGGTGGTGGTCACAGGCAGGGAAGCGCCGTTACGGTGTACAGCTGACACATTATTATTATTACCTGAAGCCTTTGGCTTACGGAAAAGTGTTACCCTAAATGTTTCAACGAGAAACACAGTCAGATCAAGCAGCCCAAACGGTTTTGACAGCAATTAAGAAAAGGTTTACATTGAAGTTCCATTTAAGGGCAACGCCGCCACAATGAGGACAACCAAGAGTTTAGTCTCTGCCATCCAGAGAACCTACTATGCCGTTATACTAATTAGCAGAACCCAATTGTTGTTACCTTCAGTAAAGGAAGAGGAACCCATTGGCGCCAAATCCCATTGCGTTTACCAATTTGTGTGTGACTGCGGAGTCAGTTACGTAGGCAGAAGCAGAGTGAAAGAACTGGGTTCAACGTGAGGTCAAGTTCAAGTTCGAGTGGGACTGTAACGATAGGAGAATCCCGTCAGTGTTCCACTTTGAGTGGATCGTTGAGCCAGGAATGGATGAAGTGTTCAGAGTTCTAGATAGATCTAAAACGGAACACTCGCATCGTACCGCGGCCAACCAGTTAATGCCTATGTTTCTTGACCTAGCAGTCCCTGCTGTGGCAGTCACGTGAAGTAAACAAAGGATAGGACGAGAAATCGAAGGTATAGAATAAGGAAGTTCGCTTGTAATAAGAATACCAATGCATGAAGAAAAGTAGAGAAAAGAAAATCGAGGTACGAAGATGCGAGTTACTCAGGAAAAGGGAAGGGTTTCGTGCTGCCACACAAGAGCGACAAGTTGCCGCTCGAAACCCTTAAAAGTAGATTTCCTGAGAACATATTCTGGAAGCATGTTCCAGTGCTCGATGACTCGGCGTGACAGCCGGATCTCCGGCCTAATCCGATCGGACCGCGATTTGTCCAGCTTCATGGAATGACCGCGTAGAACAGACAATCTAGTGAAACTGAACAGCCAAGATAAATCTGGACCAATCATCCCAGTTAAGACACGGTAGGTTAGGGTTAGGTCTCCTATAAGCCTTCGGTGGTGCATTCAATGCATTCCCAAACTAAGTAGACGCTCGGGGTACGTCCGTCCCCGAAATCCTTCAACTAACCTAGTACGCAAGGACTGTGGGGAAAAAATTTTGCAGCGTACTCCTAATGCCTTGCCTGCATTTTCAAAAGGCTTTGCGTTAAAGTTCCTATTAACCTGCCCCCCTGTTGCCACGGTAGTTCCGTGTGGAGTCAAAAAAGGCACAATATTTCTTAGAAACGCATATGGATGGGCGTAAAAGGTATATCGTCATGAAAAATTACATATCTGTCGCCAGTACAACATTGATATCCCCCGGACGTTCCACGTCATCAGATAAAACTGAATGTTGGATCTAACGCTTCATTCTGTGACTGATCATGGCTTCAGTTGCGCCGCGATATAATTTAATTGGTATTGCGTCTGTAATATATTTCGTGAAAACCGCATTAATCGCTTACCGATAACTGCGCGTGCGAAGGTTGTGCCTGCGTGGCGGTATTTCTCATATACCCCACTCCAGTTCACTTGGCGAAATAAATTTTTGGTCAAGCATGCCCGCAACCAGTCGCATTGAACAAGGAATTGCCTCCGATTTGAGAAAAATATTGTCTGAAGGGAATTTTGTCCAGCGTAAAAATAGCCCTGCCATTTTGCGTATTACTTCGGGTTCAAGCAATTGCCTGCTCGGACTGTTGGACTAGTAAATAGTAGTTCGAGGCGGTGCGCGAGATTAAGCGCAGATATCAGAAGGCAATGGGAGTCGGACACAGCGGACTGTATTCGATAGGCTACAAGAAGACGCAGACGGATAAAGCGAGACAAGAGTAACACGTTAACGCGGGAACTCACAAGACGGTCAAGTGTCGAACCGGATGTAGGTCAACATGGACGTAATGTAAAGAAGAAGAAAACGAGAAAGAATAGTGTACAACTGGTTATCAGCGAAATTGTACACCAAAGATAATAGTTATCTCTTGTGGAGCTACAGAACTCCCCCTAGAAGGCTGAACAAAAGAAGCCTTCGATTGACGGATGAATCAAAGTTGGTTGGGCAAAATCGTGCCGAGTGGGCGTTCGGGTAAAATGGAGGTTCGCCAGAAGTTCGAGTCCGCTGTGCCGTTTGTGATTCATTATTTATTGATTACAGGGCAGGGTGGATTTCGGCGAGCCGTTGGGGCGGGCTTATCGAACTACAAAAAACTGGCTAGCCCAGAAAAATGCCGACAGGACCTCAACCTCCGCTGTTGCCATACGGTGCGCTTAGGAGTGGTCTCTCCCCCCGCCGTATCCCACCTCGCGCCAAAACGACCCTCGTCCGACGACGAGGCTAACATCGTCCCAGGAAGAAAGGATCGTCATCTCACGAAGAAGCGACCCCCGTCCCGCGGAGAAAACGACCAGCGTTTGCGTCAGGATCTTTGTTGACGGCGCCGATCCTCGAAAACATTGCTCGTGTGAGTCAGTCAATCGAAGGGGAGGGTTGGGGCATGTAGAGACGAGAAAATAGAAAAACGCGCAGGAAATGCCAGAAAGAAACAACGAATGATCTGCGTGGTTAGGTTGTTTTGGTTTTTGAATATTATTTTAGAAAAAGGTTTTTCGGAAGTTTTTGATTTTTGTTTTCAAAACGCTAATCAACCAAAGACGGGGAAATATATACAATATCTACAAACCTAAACGTATTTGAACTGTACATAGTCTGAAAAACGAACGGACTTACGCACCACCCGACCACGGCGATTGGCCGTGGGAAGCGGCGGGCTAGATTCGGAAGATGTCGGAATGGCTGGTGCTTGTAGACTGAGATCGTAATCCGACTGTACTACACTAGGGTGCTGAAAGTTGGTGCGGTGAGTTGTGACGTCGCACGAAGTACTACTAGACGAAGTAGGCGAGGTGGCTTCTTCCATAAAGGCAGGCTTCAGACGGTCGATGGTGACGACTTCGGGTCGGCCACCGCGGTCAATGGTGTACGTCTTATTCGCACGGTGTAGCACTTTGAAAGGTCCTATGTACGGCGACTGAAGAGGCTATCGAACACCGTCTGCGCGAAGAAGACCGTGTGAACACATAGACAGCTTCTCGGGCACGTACACTGGTGTCTTTTACGATCGAGGAGCGGGTGGACGTAGCTCACGCATCTAGTGAGCCTATCGATTGGTGTAACTTCCGTAGTCAAAAGTGGGAGTAGACGGGGCTGGTGCTACCATCTGTCTGGGCAACCGCAGCATGCAGCCGTAGACTAGCTGCGCTGGTGTTGCGTCGAAATCGGTTTTAACCGTGTTTCTTAAGCCTAGGAGGACGAAAGGAAGTGTTTCAGGCTACGAAAGATCTGCGTGAGCACGTAGCGCTGCCTTCAACTTGCGGTGAAAACGCTCCACCACGCCGTTAGTGGCCGGAGGATACGCCGTCGTCTGAACGTGGCGACAGCCTAAATCCTTAAGCAACGTTGCAAAAGTCGACGAAAATGGTGAACCTCGATCGATGGTCACGATGGCGGGACAGTCGTATTGAGCTACGCAGCGCTCCAGAAAAGCTTTCGCTACCGTTTCCGAAGAAGAGTTAGATATGGGAATAGCTTCCGGCCACCTAGTGAATCGATCGACACAGGTCAGTAGATATACAGAGACTTTCGAGGGCGGCAGAGGACCTATGAGGTCAACGTGCACGTGGTGAAAACATGCATGTGGCGTGGGAAATATTCCTACTGAGCTTCGCGTGTGCTCATGCACTTTTGCACGCTGACACGGTAGGCAAGTAGCTGCCCAAGTACGAACGTCACGATTGACATTGCGTCAGACAAACCGTGTGGTTACGAGTTTAACTGATGCACGAACGCCTGGATAAAACAAGCCGTGCAACGTGTCGAACACGGTCTGTCGAAACTCGCGCGGGACGTCTGGGCGCGGCGTGCCCAGAGATAAATCGCAAAGTGCAGTTCCGTCTGATGATGTCAGCGGAACGGGTCGTATGGCCAATGATGGTGACCTGCGTATTATATCAACCTCAGGATCATTGAGTTGCGTTGCGGCCATGGCTGTCAAGTCGATAGCGGTGCCGGTGTCCGCAGAGATCCCTTGATTCCGGGAAAGTGCGCCGGCGACAGTGTTGTGTACACCTGAGACATGTCGTATATCGGTCGTAAACTGAGCGATATAGTCTAGGTTGCGCGACTCTCTATGAGTAGTCGAGCTAAGCACGTAAGTCAGGGGTTTGTGGTCGGTGAATATGACAAAGGTGCGGCCTTCTAAGACATGCCGGAAATGACGTATGGATAAATAAATTGCTAATAGTTCCCTACCGAAAGTACTGTAACGAGATTCCGTAGGTTGTAAACGTTTGGAGAAAAATGACAACGGCTGCCAAGCGTCACCTACCTTTCGTTTTAAGACCGCCCCAACTGCCACGTCAGAAGCGTCGGTATTGAGCGACAGTGGGGCTGCTGGGTCGTGATGCGCTATAGAAGCTATGTTGGCGATAGCTTCTTTCAAAGCCTGGAAGGCGGCGGGTGCTGCAGCAGGAAAATCGAAGTTCTTAAGCTTCCTCCCGGAGAAGATCCATGAGGGGTTGCATAAGCGAAGCGCAACTAGGTATGAAACGGCGATAAAATTTGGCGGCACCATCAGACCGTCTTAGCTGTTTGAAAGAGTGAGGCTCGGGGTAGTCGATGATGGCCTTAATTTTATCCTGTAATAGCACGACGCCTGCAGGAGAGATATGGTAGCCGAGAAAACTGACCGAACCGACACCAAACGAACACTTTTCTGCGTTGATTGTTATCCCGTGTTGAAATAAACGATCAAAGGCATTTGAACGTGGCGCAAGTGCTCCTCGTGTGAGGAGTTCGCTATCAAGATGTCGTCGAGATAGACATAAGCAAAACCTGTAGGCCACGAAAACTTGGTCGATGAAGCGCTGAAAAGTTTGCGAGACAGTCTTTAGACCCAATAGCATGCACAGAAACGCGAACAAATCACATGGGGTCGTCACGGCAGTTTTAGCGATGTACGCTTCGGCTACCGGAATTTAGTTGTAAGCACGCACCAAGTCGATTTTGCTGAGAACGTTTTTACCTGCCAGACTAGCGATGAGATCCACGATATATGGGATAGGGTAGCGATCAGGCGTGATTACGTTATTTAGAGATCGATAATTGCCACAAGGACGCCAGTCCCCTATAGTCCTTTTCGGAACCCTGGGGAGAGGTGACACTCATGGGCTGTTGGGTGGTCTTATGATACCGAGCCGAAGCATGTGAGCGAATTTAGCTATTGTGGCACATAATTTGTCGGGGGGGGGGGGCGAATCGTCTTGATCGGGTACTGGTTGGCGGACAGCGCGTGACAATGTGATGAGAGAACTCTGTCGTGACTGGCGGAAACTCTGCAGCTGATCGTACCAGTCGTGGGTATTTAGACAGTAGATTCGTATAATCTGAAGGTACGTCGGCGATTCGGAGAAGGGGACTGATTATTAGGGTGTCCGTAAGGACGCCTTCAGCCCCTAGTTTAGTACGGTCGTCTAAGTCTGTGGCGACCACCGTCAACAAGCAACCCAAAATGTCGGAGGAAGTCAATACCGATAATTACGAAGGGTACAGAGGCAACCATGAAAACCCACTGAAAATCTCGGCGAAGATTTAGGTCCTGGTTCATCATGCGCTGACGGAATGAGGCTATCGGAGAACCGTTGACCGCGCGCAGGTTGTACATAGGCTTTGGGTGCTTGTCTTTTGCGTTCGCAGGGATGACGCTGACTTCCGCTCCCGTGTCGATAAGGAACGTAATGGAAGAACGTCGATCCTTGAGGTAAAACAGGCGATTAGTTTGGTTATTGACGGGTACGTTGGTCGTGCTAGCATGCGGGCTATTCGCTTTCCTTGAAGCGGCTGAGTCGTGCCTAATGCAGGGAGCGTGAAAACGTCTAGCTCTTCCATCATATTGGCGGTGATACAAACATCGTTGCTGATGCTCTTTCAAGAGTATCTGTGATTGGCCCTGTCGGGCAGACAATCGATTTGTCTGTTATGGCCGCCGCGCAATCATACGACTGAAGTTTTCGGAGCTCCGTGATTCTTCTTTGAAGATATCCCCGCACCCTTTGCCGTCATCTGGTGGTATAATTTTATGCGACACATCTGCCGGACGACCACGAGCCGTAGTTCCGGAAACTTCGCCGTATCGTTTTCCA